TTTCCGAGATCTGGAGCTTGGTGGTAACATCAGCAACCAAATTAAGAACCTTCAGCTTTGGCTAGGGGAGGGGGATACCAGTGTGCGTGATACTTGGAAGAACTCATAATTCATGTATGTTACTGTCTATAATTTATGACTATAGCAGATATTACTATGTAAAGTCATTAGCATATATTACATTAATATATTCATATATGCAAACATTGTTATACAATGTATCAATGTAAACACTGAAATATTACCATTAAATTAATAAATATCAGTTTAATAGTATGTATATTATATTGATATAAGATGTAATACATATTACATTAACCAATAATGTGATAGATTATGTATTGCATATTTGAATTGTATAATAAGCTATATATACTAAAACATATAATATTTTCCCCACAGAACTCTAACACTGTGAAAGCCAGCAGTTCTGTTTCTTAAGGCCAGTGTTAGCAAACCATGGCTTGTGAGTCAAATCTGGGCAGTTGCCTATGGTTTTTGTTTTTGTTTGTTTGTTTTTGTGGTCAGTAAGCTAAGAATGGTTTTTGTATTTGGAACAGTTACACTTTAAAGAGCTAAATGAATACCTACAGAATATCTTGCCTCTTGACCTCAAAGTCTAAAACACTTGATATTTGTGTCTTTCACAAAACTCTGGCCCACTCTGGGTTTAGGACTTTTTGAGACAGGACATTCTGCTCTAAAGTTTGTAGCTAAAATGGAAGCCAACCTCTCTCTTAATGGGGTGTAACATTGGACACACACACACACACACACACACACACACACACACACACACACACACACTTTTTGTTGCTCAGGCTGCATTTTTCTATTGTGCTAGCCCCCAGTTAGGTACCCAAGGCCCTGAAGCACAAGACCCACCTGGATCTGGTTCCAGTCTCCAGATACAGAACAGGCCTCACCCGCATTCCTCACTCCATCACCAGCTCTTAACTACAGAGAAAGTGACAGCTGTCAGCTATTGCAGTGGGGTTCTGTGGCGTGAAAGAGACCTCGGTACTGTATGCTCATCTGAGTAATTGGAAGCCGGACTCGTCACATCTTTTTTAGCAATGACACCGGAACAGCATGGACCCATCCATCATCATGTCCTCCTTACAAAAATGGCTTCCAGTGGTCAGCTTGTCGTAGCTAATTAGTCTTCCAATGTAGGAACAGTCAGAAGCAAGCGACTTTGAGGGCTTAGACACCCTTAGCAGTGAAGTCCAGAGGTATCTGATCTCCTCTGCCTTTTAATTAGAGCCCTTTCATCTATGCCCAGAGTGTCCTTATGGTGAGAGGCACAGCTGGTTGGGTCTGCCCTCCGTTCTCAGTACTGGAGAAAGCTCAGCAGCTGCAGATAAGCAGGTGAATCCGAGGCCTCAACATGTGAAAGCTTGAAAGTTCTAGAACTCAATATGGTTGGCTGCTGGCTCCTCAAATGCAGCTATTGTAGGTGGCTTTGCGGTATGCTGGGTGTGTATAGATTAGATAGTTAGTGGATGAAAAATTCAAACAAATCTTCAGTCTCGTAGCTGAAGACTGTGGGTTCTCACTTTGGTTAGGGCTCAGCTCTCTCTTTGGGCTTCCGCAGTGGTAGGTCTGAATGCTGAGTCTGTGCTTGTGTTGATCTTTCCCAAGCTGTTCATGTGTTTCAGGACTTGGTAAGGACAAAAGCCCAGGCACCTCTGCTCTGTGAAGTTTCTGTCCCTTGCAGGCTAGCCCAGGCTATGCAAACGACAGAGACAGGGGTCTCAAAGACAGAATATATTCTCTCTCTCTGTCTCTCTCTCTCTGTGTCTCTGTGTCTCTGTCTCTCTCTCTCTCTCTCTCTCTCTCTCTCTCTCTCTCTCTCTCTCTCTCTCTCTCTCTCCTTCTGTGGAGGCTAGAGGTCAACCTCAAGTGTTATTCTGAAGAGGTGATTTTTTTTTTCTTTTTTTGAGACAAGGTCTTTCATTGGCCCAGGGCTCACCAATTATGCAGGCCCCAGGAATTCCCCCTACCTCTGTCTCCCTACCACTGGGATTACTAGCACACTGCCATGGCTGATGTCTGCATGGGTTCTGGGCCTCAAACTCGGGTCTTTGAGCCTAAGCATTTTACTGACTGAGCTCCTGATTGATTGATTCCCAGTCCCACATAAGGCTTACAACTGGTGTATTAGGTCTAGTGGCCCAAAGAGCTCACTGGGCAGTTCCAGATCTGGAAGATGGGAATACAGATGATACCTTTTGATGGTAGGAGCTTCAGAGCCACACTGCAGGGGCTGTAGGATGAGGAAGGAGATGTCTCATGTTCTGCAGCCTGCCACTAAGACATAAAGGAACACACGCGTGTGCGATAGATACCTCTGCCACTACAGCTGAGGCGGAAAGAGGTACGACTATGCTCTGGATGCTATGGGACTGATCAGATGGACCCAGTGACCTCCATCAGAGGAGAGAGATGGTGCCACTGTGTCCCTGGACCTCTCTTCTACCAGCAGAAGGGCAGGAAGCCTCCAGCGAGAAGAGATGTTAGCCCCTGCCACCCTGCAGTGGGTGAGGGAGGGAAGAAAGAGAGCCTGTGTGGGACCCTGCTTAATTTAGACAAGAAAGAGACTGCTTTCCATACGCAGGGGAACCTGAGTGGAAAAAAAAAGTTCAATTTCTCACAAACCAGCAGGAAAAACTTCCTTTTAACCAGTGGGCAATGCAGTTTGCTATGACCATGAACTTAAGAGGCAGAGGGACATGGCTTCAAATTGTGCAGTAACTCCTTATCAACTGTGTGACTTTAAGCAAATCACTTTGGCCTGAGGCTCAGTCTCTTTCTTTGTAATGCTAGGGATTGAACCCAGGGCCTCATTCGTGCTACACAAGTGTTCTACCACTGAGTTATCTCCCCAGCCCGAGGTTTAGTCTCTCCATCTGTAAAATAAGGACAAAAACATCCAAGAGGGATACAGGGGTAATTAAAGGAGATGGAATGGCGAGCCACAGTGAGCTCTCATTGCTAGTCTCCTTGCCTTGTGGCCTTGACTGTTCTGGGACTGCCTACAGTTCAACCTTTGTAGTCCTGGCCATACTGCTGAGCAATCCTGGTATGCATGCATGCATGCATGCATTCATGTACATGTGTATGTTTGTATTTGCACTAATATGCAGTAATAAAGATTAAACACAGGGCCCACATGTGCTAAGCAAGCAGTGTCCTGCTGAGACGTACGCATCAAGTCCTTTTTTTAACTTTCTGCTTTGAGAGGTCTCCATTAAGTTGCCAAGGCTGGCTTTGAGCTTATTCTGTCTGCCACATAATCCTTGAACTTGCAATTCTCCAGCCTTAGCCTCCTGAGTAGCTGGGGAGCCAGACCTGTGTCACGGGGCCCGGCTCCCTGGCATGGTAGACCATTTTCATTTCCAAATCTCATGTACACTATTTAGACCAAGCCTGCTTCTTAAAGCAATCTCGCCTCCCTTTCCTGTCTGTTCGTTCAGCTACTCAGTACTGTCATTGAGGATTGCCTTTGAGTCCTTCCGTTCCTTCAGGCCTCACATGCAGCCATCAAGCTGGATGAAATGCCCCCACATTGTTGTTCCCATTCGGTTTCCCACTGAGCGCGGAACTGGGGTTCTCACCTGGAGCTGTGGTAGCTTGTCCTTCAATGCCTGCAAGCTCTGAATGCCTTGACACTTGCAGGCATTGGAGCAAAGTTAATCTTCAAAACCAACCCCTTGGTGATAAGCACCAGTGGAAGCCAGTTGTGGCGGCATGTGTCTATAACCCTGGGCTGCTGAGGAAGGATGAACGTAATTTTGAGGCCAACCTTGGCTACACAGTGAGATCTTGTCTCAAAGAAAAAGAAAAAGAGTCAAACATAGCACCAACCCCCCCCCCCCAACAGTGTTACATGACTTACCAGGTGACGTCCAAATCCCGAGCTTGGCATTAACAAAGGTTTCTACACCCCAATTATTAGACTTATTTTCCAAGACTCCAACCAACGTCATTTTGTCTTAAAATTTTGGGTATTCATCCTGTGTTCCCAGTAAGAGTGAGGCTCCAGAACAGGAGCTGGACACTAGTTTGGGATGACCCTATGTTAGTGTTGTTACTTACTGTTGTGATAAGATATCTGACAAAAGAAAGGAAGGGTTTGGTTTGGCTCACACTTTGTCAGTAGAATACAAGAGGCAGGAAAGGCTTGGAAGCAGGGACATGAGGCGGCTGGTCACACTGACCGCAGTCAGCAAGAAGACAGACCAATCACTGATGCTCAGCTGACCCCCCCTTCCTCCTCTCCCTCTTTTCCTCAGTCTGGAGCCCCAGACCAAGGCGCGGTTCCAACCTCATTCAGGGTGGGAACCTCCTCAGTTCCTCCCCGGAAACAACACCCTCACAGAAGTGTGTCTCCGAGGTGATTCCAAACCCAGTCAAGTTGACAATGATGGTTAACGATCACAGACCCACAAAGCCCCACACAAAAACAAAAAACAAACCAAAGTAACCTAAAAGTTTGCTGGCCTTTGTTCTTGAGGGCAGAGACCCACCACAGACGACTTTGCTTTTCCATAGATCTGTTTATCAGTACTGCCAGCAAACACGTGCTGAATGAATGTTCCAGTTACAGACCTTTATGTACCTGGTCCTATCCACCCCCTCTTTAGTCTACCTGGATGGACCTCTGCAGTCCTCTCAGGTCTGCACGAAAACTCCTAGAGAGCTTGTTGGATGTCACTTGCTCAATTCTGCGTCCTGAAAGCACTGAACCACTCTCATCTTCTGTCCCTGGTAGGGATTCACATCCGAGCGGGCCATGGACCTAACTGACACACGTGCCATGGTCATTGCCCAGCCACCACCTGCCCTCAGCACCTAGTGGGGTTTATTAGGCTTGGAGCATTTTCTCTGACTGCTCATCCTCTCCCACCCAGCAGGGACTCTGGATGTGAACATGCTCCCTGACTCTTCCTGGTGGTGCTTGCCATCATGGGTTCTCGCCACTGTTTTCCTTCCAGGGTTCTCCTGTGCTCCGGGTTGGTGTCTTACTCACTGAAGAATTCCCGGCACCTGGAACGGCACTAGATACACACAGCGTTTCCGAAAACAACAACAACAACAAAAAGAGCAATTGATTTGCTGGACGTGATGGCATTCCCCTTTAATTCCAGCAGTCAGAATCAGAGGCAGGAGGATTCCACGTTCAAGGCCAGCCAGGAATACATACTAGACTCCAGAGTGAGACCTTGTCTTTAAAACAAAGAGTTGTTAAGTAATTATCGACCTGATTAAATATTGGTGTTACTCTTGCTGACATCCCATTACATGTTTTTGCTCCCTGCTGTATTATGTATAGTCATTTACCTTTGTTCTATCTATTCCTACTCTATTTCTGGTCATCAATAAATACCGGACAAATTTTATGACTGTGGTTATCAAACAAAACATGGGAAAGCCAAGCTGGGAGGTCTTCAGGTCTCTGAGGAAAGCGACGCCTGGCTTTTCTTCACCCACGCTTCTCCCTTGAACCAAGAGCTGCTAAAACAACCAGCCCTTCTTCCTCTCTGTGAATTAAGCATTTCAAGGACAGCTGGAGTGCTGAATAAAAAGACTCGGTGGAATGAGAGCACATTCATAACCATCTGCATGAATCAAGCCTGGGCCTGCCTGCCACTCCACGTTCACTGTTCACCCAGCATCAATACTCCTAAATGTTTGGACATGGAGCCCATCTACCACATGTCAGGATAATATAACGCACATGCACATTATCAGAGATGGAAAAAACGGCATCCTGAAAATTGTCTAACTCGTTGCAAATGGGAAGGAAGACCCTTGCTCAGCAGACAGCTTCCCTCAGTCACGTCTCCCCTTAAAGCTATTTGCTACTTGAGCCTGCTCATGCCCCCTCTGAGAAGTCATATTGCAATCACATTCTGCTTAGCTGTCCATGATCGGGTTCTTAAATGCAGATAAATTAGGGACGGGCTGTAAATTGGTCAGCCGCAGCAGCCTGGACCTCGCAGTAGCACGAGCGTATCATAACCAAGCTTTCTGCACTCTTGCAGAGGCAGCTTCTGCAGGAGCCCCCTCCGTGGAGTTAAATAAAGTGGAAATGAGGCACAGAAGCTCACCCAATCAGACAGAGAACAGACATTTGGCATTTTAAAAATGCCTTTTAAATGTCTAGATGGATGGTATATTACCCTGTAGCCTTTTCAAAATCTGTGAGACATGTCATGAATGCTACTGTCTAAAAAAAGTCAGCCCTGGAAAACCCTCGGATATGCCCTGGTAAGAAAGGCAGCAGCCCTGTCACCTCAGGAAGGATAATGTTGTCACGGGCTTCAGGAAACAGCTTTGCATATGACTTTAGGACAAGGAAGAGCTTGCAGCCTGCATGCTTGCTCGAGGTTTTCACCCAGTCAGTCAAGTATGTATGCATATATATACAAGTCAGTCAGGGGTGTATGCAGCCCGCTCACTCACACAGTATGCAAAGGAAGAGGCTGGCTGCTTCCAGGGCAGCTGAAAGAGCAAAGGGTCTTTAGAAGAACACCAGAAACGTGTGCTGCCTGGAGGGAGTGGCCAGGGTTCTAAGTTCAGTGGACACTTTCATCTTGAGCCCAGTGGCCAGAAGCCAGCACCGGAGTCTAGGCTTAGTCACATAAATGAAGCCATGGCATCCCTGGGTGTATTAATCTGTGTGTATTTGTCACTTTTCTCATTTCTGTGACAAGACACATGACAGAGGCAACCGAAGAAAAGACATTTTTATTTGAGCCCAGGGTTTCAATCTATCACGGCAGGGAAGCCTAGACCTAGTTCACGGGTGTGGAGGTGAATAGCTGGGGCTCCTCACATCATAATTCCAAACAGGAAGCGAAGATGACCCAGACGTGGCCATCACCTCCAAAGGCATCCCTCTAATAACCTATCTCTATCAGTTAGCCCCGCCTTTCAAAGTTTCTGCAACACCCCAACATTTCCCTGCCAGCTGGGGAGCAGGCACTCAAACACAGCAGGCCTCTGGGGAACGTTTCAGACTTAAACCACAACATATGGCAATTATCACATGCCCAAAACAGGGTGACTTTATAAAAAAAAAAAAAAAAAAAAAAAAAAAAAAGAGGTTTACTTAACTCATAAGCATAGAGGCCGAGAATCCAAGTGGCACAGTGTATAGGCTCTGGTGAGGCCCCCTCCCTTTTGGCTGCCTCACCTAATGACTAACATCACTGGCAGAAGTGTAATTGGAACAAAGGGACCACACCTGGTACTAGAGAGCCAAGTAGCAACTCAAGGGTCAGGCGTAAGCTTTAATAACAAGTCTCTTGAACTCACCAAGGCCTACAAGGAAAAAAAAAAACCATTAGTACATTTCAAGGGCATCCCATCTCTTTGATCTAGAACCTCTCTTAGCCCCTGCCTCTTAAGACTCTATTATTTCCCAACACCATCACCTTCGGGACAAAGCTCCAAATACGGACCGTTTTCTAGATGTGTGTGGTGGTGGTGGTGGTGGTGGGGGGCGATTAGAACTTAAAGAGCCCAAGTCAAACAAGAGAGTAGTCTGGCATGAGCTGTGGCCGCAGACTTCACAGATGGTGACCACAAGGAATGCGGTGTTCAGACCTGTGGTCGGGAAGGTCCCTCTTTTGCTCTTCCTTCCCAAAGTTCACACCTGAGTTGGACTCGTCATTACAGTCCTATAGAAAAAGGGACAGTCTAGACCCCGTAAACATTAGCAAGAATCAGAACGAAAGAGAACGCACCCCAATAATCTGAGTGAAGAGTTCTCTGCAGTGGCAGACACCCAGGCTTCTGTAGCAGCCCTTGGTCTGCTTCACCGGATGGGAGAGGAAAGCAAGCCACGATACAGTGGACCCTGTCTTCATCAGCATCCATGGCCTTGGGCAGAGGTGCGAGGGCCAGAAGCGGAGAAACGGTGGAGAAGCCCACCAAGAAGCCATGCTCTTTAAGCGCCTGTCTCCTTGACGAATGTGTTGGGAGTATTCCGCCTCCTCCCCCATTCGGCTCTCAGAGGTTCCTGCCTTGTTTTCCTTGGGAAAGCTCCAGGCCTCCACCTGTCCTCTATATGGAAGGTCTTCCCTCATTTCCCAGGTGTCCTCTTATACCTCCATGCCTCTTCTCAGGTTGCCCTAGGAATACCAACCTGAAGCTTCCTGTTCATGCATTTGGACCCTCAACTCTAGTGCTCCGCTGTCTGTCCTTGTCCAGTCCAGGCACCCATCTGCCTGCAGTGTGGACTGCTTTCCAGAACTCGGTTCTTTACCCAAGCCAGATCGTCCCCGGGGGCAACTGGGGAGACACCAAGTGCATCCTTCTTGCCTTGGGCTTCTTCAGCTTCTTGGGGCGGGGGGGGGTTAGAAAGAAGCCCTGACATGCTCTACAAATAATTCACTAGTTAGATGGCCACCTCAAGATGAAAAGGCAAGATAATGGTTCTTTGTACTTACATAGAGTGTTATAGTTCTAGAAACACTTTTTAATCTACTCATCCAAACTGAATCACTTGTGGTATTCAGTAAAGGTCAGGTGGGAGGAATCACGAAGCTCTGTTGTTATAATAATTGCAAGCGTCAAGCTAAGAGCTGTCTTATTTTGGTCCAGCTAACACTTGATGTCCCTGTTAATGTTATGAGTGTGATGCCAGCGCATCTTTTTGTCCACACAACTGAACTCCTCCTGTGCTGTTAGCCTGACGGAGCCTCCATTTGCTCCTGGGTGCGCCCTGCTTCTGGTTAAGCTTCAGCAATGCCTATTCCAAACCGCGTTACTCGATTCTGCTCTCAAGTGAAATCTGACTTTGTGCTTTCTCTTTACTCTCTGCTTTTATCTCTCCCTCCCCCACCGTCCCTTCTCCTCCTTTCCCTTTTCTTTGTCTTTTTCTGCTCTGTTGGATATTGTTTCTTGTTCATCAGCTTTCATTTCCAATTATATTCTCCCTTGTATCTCAGGGGCTAGAAGCCTGGGAACTAGAGTTCTAAGACTCCTTTGTTCGCTAGTGGGGTCTGAAGGCAGAGGAAGAAGAGCCACTTTCCAGTAGATAGACAGACTGCAGTTCATGCGGGTTTTGGAGCACATTCACATTTCCCTGTCCATCATAAACTTAGGGTCAAGAGGCAGCTGCAAAGCAGCAGATGTTTCCTGCAGTTTCCTGACCTCAGGGTGTTAGTAACAATGTCCTGATCTCTGGATCCTGGCCGTGAAACTAGAGAGCTAGTGGCCACACCCCTGAGTTACCTTCCTTTGGCAAATCCAGTGATGGGGTTTACAACCCTCTTCCTGCTCTGCTGAAAATGAAACCTCTCGCTACTGGAAGCAGCTAGTTTTGCAGTGGCTCTTCAGAAGTGGTGCTATGTCAGGAGTATCGCGGGCCCGGGAGAGCCCACCACAAATGCAAATCCTCAGGCCCCACCCCAAACCCACTGACTTGAAAACCCTGGGGAAGAGTCAGGCAGCCTGGGATTAACAAAGACCTCCAGGTGATTCTGAGGACCACGGACTTATCACACACCACCACCGGCGGATACACAGCCTCAAGGCTACACCTTTTTATAACTAGAAAATACCATATTTAATGTAGAAAACTTGGAGAGGCTCCACAAAACTTAACTCCACTTAACTCCCAGTGCTAAGAGTTAATGATCGTTAACCCTTTGATTTATTTCTATCTGGCTTCTCCACACATAAAAGGTTACACATGCAGTTATACACCTCGCACAATTTCATATCATTTTTAAATAATAAAAGCATTTCTTTGCACCATTAAATAAACTTACTCAGTGCTTACCCAGAATTCCATATCTAGAAGTATTATAATCAACTAGTCATTCTTCTACTGAGGAATGTTTACGATGTTTCTGGGGTTTGACATTATAAATTAATATTGAGTTGAATGTTTGTTGACATGTTGTCCATATTCTTGGGTATCTGAATATTTGGTTCCCAGTTGATGGCAATGTTGGGGCAGAGTTAGGAGGTGTGGCCTTGGTGGAAGAAATATGTCACTGGAGGTGGGCTTTGAGGTTTCAAAAGCCACGCACAATTTCCAGTCCACTCTTCCTCTTTCCTATTTGCAGTTGGAGATGTGAACTCTCAGCAGCTGCTATAGCCTCCACATCTGTGGAAGCATAAGCCCCAATACACTCTCACTTCCTTCTATAAGGTGCACTAGTCCTGGTGTTTTACTGCAGCAGTAGAAATGTCACTAAGACAAGGTCCTTGTACACAATCTCATTAACTCCCCATTGTCTCATTGGAGAAAGACTAGATTAGCATATGGATTTGAAAAGAGAGAAAAGCGACCTGGCCAGGGGAGTGCGAGTCCTCTCAGAGCAAAGACTCCATGTGGTAACAGAGATCTCAGGGAACTGATCAGCTAGGTTGGGCGGTCAAG